AATAGGCACCAAGAATGACAAACAGTATCTGAAGTATACAAAATTCCTAACATGCCATACATATTATGTTTTTTTATTACAGTGCAGACAGTCTACTGAGATTCCAGCTATTGAGATTCCAGTTGTTGACAAAGATCAATTCGTCTTGTTTTAATTTCATTATTAGCCTCCTACAATTAGAGGTACTGGCAATATTTGACCAAATTTGTTAACTTCAGATAAAATTCTAGATTTTTTTCTTGGAGGTTTCCAGTCTCAGCTCATTTTTTCAAAATGAGTGTCTTTTCAAACGTGTCTTTTTGTATGCTTATGCACTATCATCCTCAGCACCCAAATGAGTCTACAGAGACAATACACATACTGGGGACCCTAGACAGTCTTCCAGCAGCGTAGGAAACATTCTCCAGCCAGAACTGCAGCTTAAATGAGAGAGATTCACACCCCATGAAAGTTAACACAATACAATAACAAAAAGTGAAAACCAGCAGCGGAAACAGGAACAGATGCAAACTTTCTCCTTCCCATGCTAAATCACAACAAATTTAAAATTTTTGCTCCACCTGAGTGATTTATTGTTCGAATTTGTGCACTATAATAGGAACTCCATCACTGAAAAGTTGTTTATTATTTTACATGCAATAGCAACCACAAATACAACATAAAATTAATTTGTTATTGTGTATCTGTTCCCTCCACACACAGCTGATCAATTTGTTTTCACTCTGTCTCCCATAAATTGTATTAATAAGCACATTACAAATATTTTAACTCTGTTATGGAGTATCAAGGTATTTCAGCTGACTTTTAGCAATTCAATGATAATCACCAGTGAACTCATCTTCCATGTTTAATGAAATTTACTTACTAATAATTAATTCTATACAGCAGGCACCTAAGTCATAATTACCTTATCATCCTATGAACTACAACATGTGAACAAAATTCTGAATAAGTAATATTGTAACTTCATTACTGAGCTGTTCTAGTAAGAAAATGATGATACTTTTATAAGCTAGGCACACCCAGCCTACAATAATAAGTTACAGGTATAATTCAGTACATGTATTCACAGTCTCATGTTTTGGACTACAAGAAATACAAATTCCTCTTCTTCACATCTCCCTCTGATCTCTTCATGTATCCTTTAAAGCTCACTCCTTCAGAGACACTGCCCAGATAACCTGCCGTCTCCTGTACTCTACTGCCTCTGCTACCTTTTAATTCACCCTTAGTTAGCATTCTGTGTATCTCTCCTACACCTACGTTCAATCAGAGAGAAGAGAAACCCTTTCCTTTTCTTGTTTCACCTCTAGCCTCCAGGAGCATCTTAACACATTCTCTGACTTGTGATTAATTATGGCCCTGTCCACAGGAAACAAAAGCATATCCACACAGCTGCACTACTAGAGCTAGATGGATGTAAACTACAGTTACCTGTATGGTGGAGCTTCTGCCATGTGGATCTCAGTAACAAAAACTCCCCCCTGTTGTTGCGATGCTTCTGTGTTTTAAGACTTGTGCCAGCTACCTTTTTTTCCCCCATCCCTTAGAGCAGACTTCCATAAGATGAGAATAGTTATCTTAGATTCAAGTCTAAAGCATCATATTACATCTCTCAGAGAATGGGTTTCACACAGACAGAAGGATGAAAAACACAGGTATACTAGGGAAAGACAGGATCCCTTTTCTTAAAGTTAGCAACTCTGACACTCTCAGCTTCTGCAGCTATAGATCTTTAACCCCTCCTAAGTGAAAAAGAGAATGCAATGCTTGAAAGTAGTTAAAATATGTATATCTAAATATTTCAAATCATATTTTTTCATGCAGGATCATTCTCAGCCTAGAGGGAAAGGAGTAAGAGAGGACTAACCTACACCTTTTCTTCTTGCATAAGCATCAGGATTGGCTCCATAACTTAAAGGAGCTTTTCACTTTGCAAGATGTGTCAACTTCATCACTTTAAGACAAAGCATTGCCTAGCCAGACCTCTAACAGCAAAAGATCACACACCTAAAGAAAATTCAAATCTGTAACTTAAAGCTGCCTTTGGGATTTGCCTGCACTGCAGCTGCTCTTGTGACTGCAGTGTCATAAAAAAACCATAAACTGACTAACCTAATAAGCAACAAGCATAGCAGCAAGTTTAAAGTATGCTCAGTTACAACAGACATATTGCATGGCTCAAGATTATATCCCTGCTGGTTAACAACCAACTTAGGTCAGAGAATCCATAACCTTTTTAAGATTAACCTTAATAATTGTGTATAAAATAACCTCGACAACTCAACCAACCCACCAGAAGAGCAAACACAGCAATTCCAGTGAATCCTAAGCCATGAACTTATAGGAAAAAGAAAGAACAGAAAAACAGCTCAACTCCAATTAAATCTAAAACAAAAACTGAGCACCTAGCTTATATATATACTACTAAACATGACATTAAAGTTTTCTGGTTTGATTTTAGCAATTATAATTTTTAAAACAAGACTTCCTCTCTTCCTCTAAAATGATAAAGTTTACACTGAAATAAGAGAGAATAGTACCTTCCAGTCTTTGAATTTTAGCTTTCACAGAAATAACTGTTTCAAAGGGGGAAACTCGCAGTTCAAAGCACGTTCCTGTGAGCGTTTCAATGAAGAGCTCCATAGTTTCATAGAAAGGAAGCTTGTAGTGAAACGGTCCCATACTATCCTTATTGAAAAAAGGAGGCTCTTTCTTGTTGGCCATTAGAAAGGATTTACAACTTCCTTGTAAGAAGATCTGTCAGGAAACTACATTCCACTTCTAGCCAAGTCAGCTTTGAAGACACGTGTGGTGCATTGCTGTTCATCTTTAGGAGTTTTCACCTATAAAGCAAACAAATACAGTTCTAGCATCTGAACATAACTGTTAAAGAGAATATCAATTTATTCTTGATGAACAATAAAATTCTTATTCTGAAACAGTAAGTTACTACATCGGTAGTGCAAGATAATCACAAAATATATTAGTGATGTTGTAGTTTTAGGACTCTGGTTTCAGTCAGCATTCCAGGTGCAACCTTGCTATTTCTGTTTCCACAAACGACATGACAACTGGACGCCTAACACCTCCCGAGAGGGGCTGAGCCCTCGGCAGTGTCAGAGATCGAGGAAAAACTCCAAAAAGGCACAAAACCAGGGACTGGCCTGGGCTCGGGGAAGGCAGAGTTGGAGGCGGCAGCCCGGCCCAGCGTCGCACCGGGGCGGCGGGCCGAGCCCGGGCAGCCGAGCGGAGCGGCCGCGAACAAAGGCGGGCGAGCAGCCGCCCCCTCCCGCCGCCCCCGCGCCTCGGGGCGGCCTCGCACCCCGGGCAGGGCGCGGGGCCCCGCCGCCTACGACCCCGGCCTCCCTGCCCTGCACGGACACCGCCGCGCCTGCGGGACTGGACCCGGGCGGGTCGAGCACAGCCCCTCTGCCCCGTCGCGCTCGGCGCTCCCGCCGCAGGGTCTCCGCGGGAGCCGCGCTCCCCACGACCCGGAGCCCGCCGGGTGAGAGCGGGGTCTCCCCTCACCTGCCGCCGCCGGGCCCGCTCGGGGGGAGACACGGCTCCTGCCCCCCGCCCGCTGCAGGTCGCCGGACCGGCCGGGCCCGGCGGGACGTGTGCACCGGGAGCGCAACCGGAGCCGCCGCCGCCGCCGCCGGGGGGGCAGGACAGGGAGGCGCCACCGCCCGGCAGCCCCCGCGCTGCCCCGCCCCCGTGACGGCCCCTCCCGCGGGCCAATGGGACGCCCGCTCTCACGCAGCTCGACCAATCAGCGCCCCAGAGGGGCGGGGCTCACGGCGCCTCAGGGGCGGGCGCCGCCGGGCCGCTTGTTATGGTCGTTAAGACGCGGGGCGGCCGCGCGTGCGCGGGGAAGGACCCGGATGCGTTTCCCCGTCGCCGGCGTGTTCCGGGCCGGGCTGGACCGGGCTCCGGGCACCCTGCTCCAGGGAAACCCCGCCCACGGCGGGGGGTGGAACGGGACGGGCTTTCGGGTTCCTTCCCACCCAAAGCATCATGTGAGTCTGTGCAACGCCCACAGCGCGACCGGCGGGCCCGTGACAGCGGCGGCGGCCGCGGGGTCTCCTGGAACAAGTAGTCCAGCGGGGCCGGGTAAGGCCGAGGAGCGGTGGCACCGGCGGCTCGCCCCGGCCGGAGCGCTAGAGGGGCAACGCCAGCATGGACACCTTACGCTCGGCCCGAGAGGCTCCCGGGGAGTGCCGGTGTGTCCCAGCGCAGCGCGCGGCCCGGCCCGCACGGGCGGGAGGACTCGCAGTGCGCGCAGCTGCGCCGGTGTCCCCAGCCGGGACAGGAGCGTTCCCGGCCGCGGCAGGGGCCAGAAACAGCTCTCGGGCACCTTCCCTGAAGGTCAGCGCTCGCCTCTGCTCCCGCAGGCCGGTCTCCAGAAGCAGAGCTTCCCTCGGATGATCACAGTCTAGAGAAAACAAGCTTATCCTATTAGGAAGTGCTAATTACATTAAACACTTTACTTTCCATTTAGGTTTTAAAATTATGCAAGACCTACCCTGACTAGCTGTTAGGTTTTAGGCCCAGTTAAGACACTCAGAACAAACACTGTGGCTTTCCACAAGCATGTAGCACATACAGGAGTGCTGTGACAGCTCCTGGGCATTGTAACGCTGGGCCTCCAGGCTCTGCTCTTTGGAGAAAAATGCAGCCATGGTTTATCAAATTTGCAAAGAAAAACAAAACATAAGAGAACAAACAAAAAACCCACAACCACCCAAACCAACATCTAGCCAAAACTTGGTTAAAAAAGTCACCACTCAGACCAAACCCTCCTAGAAGTGAAGTGCCTAGACCAGGCTCCCACAGGTTGTTAAAACTGAAGACCACACATTTTAATATGTGAAGAGACAAAGGGAAAGGCACAGAGACTCTCCCTGTGCCAGCTTAGAAAGACTGGAGGGGAAGAAAGGTTCTGATCTTCATCATAGTGCAAGTTTATATCAAGAGCTTTTCTCTGCTGAACTTTCACATTTAAGTTTAAGAAACACTTTAAGGCACGAGCTTTATTTTTCTCCTACTTCAAGAGCTTTTGGCCCTCAGGGTTCTTGGCTTGTGAACAGCCATCCTTGCAATGCTATAGAAGTTATAAATGTGAAGGGCCAAGAAGAAAGGAGGATGCAGAAAAAGAAAAAAAAGAATTCACCCTCTTTTTCCTCTTTTCCTCCAGTATGTCTTTGAAGCCCTTCTAAGCACAGAAGGAGTAAAGCAGCAATCCAAATCATGTATGAGACATATGCAGCAGGTGTAATGCCTATAAATAAAGTGCAAGCACTTTCACTGTAGACACCCATTTGCAAATAGCTCCCACATTTTTTTCCAAGCTGCTACTCCCAACTTACCCCCCACTTAACATGAATCATTATCAGGCCCACGTATGGCACAAATCAATACATCACGTTTCTCCTTTATCCCTTCCAACCTTTCCTCCTGCTTTACCCTCATTAGAGCTAGATGCTTCAGCTGTAGTACTTACTGTGCCTGATAAAGTAAATTCAACTGGAGACACAAGAGATTGAAGCAGATGTCTCAGAACCAGGGCTCCAGTGAAAGTAGGAATTGCTCTTAAAGAAGTCCTCTGAGTGCATGCTTTAAATTCACACAGAGCAGAACAGTCTTAAAGAGTTGGAGATAAACTAGTACATTATTATCATAAAAGCAGAGCATCTAGTCAGAATTACAGGCAATCACTGATATAATAAAAGAAACATTTATCAATCTGCATTTATACATTTGCTCTCCTTGTACGCATGCAGGAGAGCGTCTACCACTGGGTATGGTTAATGGCATCTATTCCAGAAGGGGAAGCTAGAAAATACAGGAAGCAAGGTTAAGCCAAATACACCAGACAGTTAAAGGGATTCCACAGAATAGCAACCTCCTGTAAACAGCCTACAACGTGTTATGGATGAGAAGGCAAACGAGACAGCAAGCCTTAATGTGCAAAAGAGTCTCTGCATAAAGTATGTACATGGGCTTGTTAGCTCTCAAGTGACCAAGCTGATCTGTACAGATGGACTTTGTGGAAAGTGTTATTTGCAAAACTCTGCCAAATCCATGCAGGTGAAAAATCTCATTTAGTGGCTTACAACTTGAACAGAAGACCATGTTAGGTTTCTGTTGTTCTCATGGACCACTCGGTACTCATTTGTAACATGAGCTTCCTGGCAGGGAAGTGTTAACTATTGTTATTTTTATAGACCATAGCCAATTTTCATATTGGCTGCCAATATGAAATACCTCATCTCTAGCTGCTATCAAGTCCTGCACTGAGATTTGTTAACTGCTTGATTCCATAAGAGAAGCTGTACCTGATAGCCAAACCCAGTCTTACCCTAATATTAACTCAGCAGGTTGGCAGCTGACCCAGACAAGGCATGGTAGTGGTTTTGGTTGTTTTCAAGTCATGATGCAGACACTCTAAGCAAGGGGTAAAGAGGAAAATAAGACATGCAGACAGAGCAGGTTTAACAGACTCCATTTACTATTTATGCATTATTTTATCTATAAATCTGTTCAATAAAACAAACTATCTTTTATATAATAGATTACTTCATTGCAGGTATTGCACAGGCTATATTCATCTGGGCACCATGGAAACATAATAGCATGAGGTTACTCTATTCTTTAAAAAATATATAATTTAGCAGAATTAGACTAGCACAGGAGAATACTAACCATTTAAAATGGTAATCTCATTTAAATATCCACATCCATCTCATTTCAGCTCTACTGAATTAAGAGAATCCAGAGTATTAGTACTGAACAGGGCATAAGGAAGGCCACCTCTCTGCAACACATTCCCCTTGGCTACTGGCCTCCAAAGGCATTCAACGGGTCATCAAACGTGCTCAGGATCTTGCTTTCAGATTTTGCTTCTGAGGCTGTTTGGGAAGGTCTGGTTTTGGGAGTTGGTATCTTGACTTGGCTGGTAGAGAAGATATCATCTAAAGGGAGGAAAAAAAAAGATGGATTTTAATGGAATGTGACTGCTAAACAGAAGTAAATGTTGTGCATAAGAGACTCCAGCACACAGCAGTGATTGCGCCAAGGACATTCTGTGACAAACAAATGCTTTCCTGCTACTTGCGATTCTGGATGCATTTGTAAGGACATACGTGGGAGCTGTTAGCTGTAAGTCAAATTAAGAATTTTTTTTTCTTTTCAGTAGACAGTATAAAATATACTACTTATATTTTATAACATGTTCAAGCTCTCATAAGCATTTGAAAAGTACTAATAAATTAAAGCTCCACAATAAGTTCCATTGTGCAAGTGCCAGACAACATCCCTCTTATCTAGAACATTAGAGTCTGAGGAACCTGAGAGATCCAAGAGCTGTGAGGTTGTTGCCAAAGAAAATCAGAAGAGGAAAAGATGGTAGTTGCTAGCAACTAGCGTTGACATCCACTAACCATGAGCCTTTAATCTACAGAAAGAACACAACATAAATCCCTTGAGAACAGAGCACTGCTAAAATGACAGCTACAACCATCATCCTGATGAATATTCAAAAAGCCTGTCTTACAGTCTTGAATCAAGATCTCCCACCACCTTCCTCAATACAAACACTTCTGATGTGAATAACTAGGAACACAAAGTGGAAAAATATCACACTGCCATTAAGACAGAGTTCTCTCCTGGAGGATAACGTGTAGAAACTAAACCCTCCAACATGGATAGCTCATGTCAGCAGCAGAGCTCACAGTCCTGCAGTTCTTGCTGTGGCTAGTGCTGCTGGTGTTTAGGACTGTGCTCGTGGAAAGAAATGAAGCTGCAGCCATACACATGCTAAAGTGTTGCTGTGAGGTTTCCTGAGCATAAAAAACCAGCATATCTCCTACTGTAAACTAAGAAATTTAGGATACTCAGATTATGCAGTTGGATTATAAAACCAAAAAATTACAAGACTGAGATATGAGGATCACTAGTGATTCGCAAGGCCAGTGTAAGTAGCACATAACTGGTCTTGAATCTCTATTAAAAACATGGGCACTATGTAGAGATTAATAGCCATTTATTAGTCCAGAGTATAAAAACTAGTATTTCAATCTTCTTTAACCTTGAGCAGAGGCCAAGCACAAAGTGGTCTATCACAATGTGTTTCCCTGTCTCTTCTTGCTGCTACTTCCACTTCAGCATGTGTCTGCTACTGTGCTGATGATAGGGATTACACAGGAATAATCCAGGACCACATTTCATCATAAGAGCAGTTTAGAAAGGCAGTAAAACAGAGTAATCCCCTGCTGGCATCACTCCAGAGCAAGAAGCTATCACATGGATTAGCTTTACAGCAGAGGGGAAGTGAGTGCCATAAGCAGTAGAGGTATCACTCCCATTTTATAACAAGGCTTAAGGAACAGAAAAGTTTTGGCCATGGAAAACAGTATTTGTTAACACACAGGAAAGCTCAGTCACCATTTTGCAAGCTAGCAGGGGTGACATTAAGATATTTGTGACATCAGCCATAAGGTCAGTAAGGAGGCTAGGATAAAGAGCTGAGATGGTTTTTCTAATATTGCTACCACAAGCCTAACACAAATGCAGTAAACAGCGACTGGACAGCTGTGGTAGGACAAAAGAAAACAGCCTGCAGCCTCCATCCCCCCAGACTGCACCTATGTACTGTTTCATTTGCATAGGCTACATGAAAAATGTAAATGATTAAACTAAGGTTTTCTTAATAATGCAATATATATTTCAATATCTTCCTAGCAAACCTTTAAGTCTCACATTTTATATTAATTGAGAAGGTTTTGAAATCTCAAGATGTTCATTCTCTGGCAAGTTTTGTAATACATTTACAGATTGAGCCAGGTCATTCTATCAGGCTGGAATGCTTAGCTTCAGTCCAAGTAAAACAGCAATAAGTGAGATTAAACTCGAATTAATGACAAAGAATGAAGACTTGACAAGAACCAAAGCTAGAGAAGCGAATTTTTTGTCTTAGTAGAGAAATATATGCAATCCCAAAGAACAGCTATAAACATGGAAAGCCTGAGAACAAACACAGCTGAGGATCAAATTACTTTCAGAGTCCCCACTGATGGAGAAGAAAGGAATATGCTTGCCAGCCTTTCACATCACTACTTGCTGTTTTTTTCAACAAATGATACATGGCAAACTTTCGCTCTCAGGTGTAGTATCTGTAAATTGACCTGGGCCCATGGATGTAAACAAAAGCTTACAGGCTCCAGGGTAGTCAACACAATAGTGAAGGTGAGATGGGAATAATTTGTTCATATTTGTTCAGTGTTTGTTCACTGTTCATATCGGTGACTCATCTGACAGTACAATACAAAAAGCTGCACAAACTGAAACACAGAATGTGTCTCAGAGCCATAACAACATGAAATTAGTCTCTTACTGCCTGTAAGTGTAATTTTTTAATTCCTTCAAGTAAGAAAACCCCTACAGAAATCAAACTATCCTTTCTCTCAGAACAATTTTATACACTCTCCTAAACCATTTAAATGCCATGCTAGTTCTACAAATCTAGGAAGTTCTCATCCAAGGTTAAAATCCAAAGGCGACTGGAGATTTCAGAGCAGTTGAAAAGTTAAAAGAAAGCAGAGGGTTCTAAAATATCTTAGATGAGTGCAATTCAGGACAATATTATGAGATTAGTAGAAAGACATTTACTTAAACATACACTTACCCATATCATCATCAAATATGGATTTTTGTTCCACCTTTTTCTTGGTCTTCTTTTCTTTTGGTTTTACAGTAAGATCCGCAAAAATATCGATGTTATCATCAAACAAGTTAGTCTCTGGCATTTTTTCTTTCACTTTGTTCATTGGTTTAATTGCCTCAGTAGCAAATATATCATCCTTGGAGAAAACACAGAGAGATTTCATCAACCCACAACATAGTTCAAGAGAATAGTCAAATTATCTGTACACAGCACCTGAGATGTTTAGAAGACTGACAGCCTTGGGCTTCTTGGGCTTGTCAGTCGAAGGTTGGGCTTGATGATCCTTTGACAATCTAACTGATTCTGTGATTCTCAAACATGAGAAGTTTGAGTCCCTTGGGGCACTTGGCAGAAGTGCCTTAGTGGTGGATTGCACTCCGAGGCCTGTTATCAGCTGCCCAGTCCAACAATTTTATTCCTTTTTTTAAAGTGTTATTTGAGCTGCTGTGCACTGAATAGACAGATAAGAACCAAATACTTCATTACTCTGAAAAAGGTATGTTGTCACAGCACATTCAGTGACATGCCTGCTCTGTATTATGCCTGCTCCACTTTTTAATCCACTGCTGCCAGTAAAGGAATAAACAACCAAATAAAGGGTTTCCATTGCCCAGCAGCAGAGCAGGATTGACAGTTTACTTCTATCACTACCTATCCTGCACACCCCATCCTACTCGGCAGCCTCCATTAAACATCTAAGTAGATGGGTCTAAATATGGCCCTGAGGATCAAAAAAGCCAACGTGGCAGCTTTGACCACTACCTCAAAGATATCTTGGGCAGCAGGGTCAACTGCTTGGTGTACAGCAGATTTCAACTCCTTTTTTCCAGTTTTCTGATAAGTGAAGAGAGAGTCTTCCTCTTCCTCCAGGAAAGGTATAGGGCTGCTTTTTGTTGAAGATTTTTGCTGTACAGGCTGGAAGAGATCACTGCTGTCCTCATCACCCAGAACAGACAGATCAGGCTTTTTCTCTCTGCACTTGATGGGTTTGTTAGCCACACTGTCTGGCATTCCCTCTTTTAATTTTGATTGTGCAGCTGGTCTGGACGTTGAGCTGCTAGCAAAAACGTCTTCCGATTCAAACAGATCATCCCCATTTTCTGTGGATTCTGGAGGAAGGAGTTTGTTTGTCCCAGCAGACAAAACACTGCTGTGAGCTAGTAGTGACAAGCCAGAGAGAAAGCCATTTTCCTTGGACTCTGCTTCAGTAGCAAGAGGCTCCTTTATGTTCACTACTGTCTGTTTTGGTAGAGAGAATTGTGATTCTTTAGTACTGTCCACCTCCTCACTCCCTTCAGACTCTTGGGCAGCCAGCCGGCGGGCCATTCTGCTAGGAGGTCTTCGTCTTCCTGTAACCCTGATCCTGGTCTGCAAGAAAGGAAAAAATGCAGAGCAGGATTATACATAAGGAAAAAGCCCCATGGCACATTAAAGATTGGAATAGTTTGTAGTAAAGTTCAGAAAAATAACGCAGGACTTTGGATTTGCTGCCTGTAGTCAT